GCGCACGCGAAAGTTTCGGACTTTAGGTTATGGAGGGCGTCGCGCATATCTAAGAAACGGCGCCCGCATATGAACGAGCGGCACATCGTCGCTATCACCGTGTGGTCACCGCCGAAAGTTTGCATGTAAGCGCTTGTTCGTGGATTGGGCGGCAGTGATCGGATGGGGACGGTCCGATGAGCGCGGGGGGAGAGGGCCTCCCCGCGCCGCCACGGCGCGGCCCGCGTCGAGTTTTGAGCCCGCTCAGGGTTCGCGTGGCGTCGGGGCTTCGCGCCCCGCGCCGCTCAGATGACAGCGAGCGGCTTTGCGCGGCGCCCCCCGCGTCGGATCTCATCCTGGATCCCCCGCCCTTTCGGCGCGGATGTCTCGGGGCCGACGGCGCGCCTTTCTTGGCGCGGGGGCCGCGCGGCCGAGCGTTTCGGGGGCCCCGCGATTCGCGCGGGCGGGGGCCGATTGCATTGGGGCCCGCCACAATGGCCCCAGCGTTGTAAATATGCTTTTTCTTACTTGTACCAGGTTCTCTCAAATATTCGCCGGACCAGAAAAATAGCGTCCGCTGTTACGTGCTTGGACAGAAGGTGAGGAGTTGAGGAGGAGGAAGAGGTGGAGGAGGTGGAGGAGGAGGAGGAGGAGGAGGAGGAGGAGGAGGAGGAGGAGGAGGAGGAGCACCCGGCAGCACTCAGCTCACCGCCCCCGAGCAGCACCCAGCTCATTGGGGCGCTTCCGGATGCAACCCACCGCGCGGCCCTCCAGCCTATTACTACTGGGGGAGGCCGCCGGAGGGACCCCTTCACGGGAGCCCATGGCTAGGCCTCTCGGTGCCCCGCGTGGACGGCTGGCCGGCAAGCTCCCGGCCACGGGGAGGGGGCGTCCCGCGGGTCGGGCATTGCTAGGCTGGCCGCCCGCGAGATTTCGGGCCCGTGCCGCGCGGCAAGGGCGGGCGGCCCAGACGGTCTTCCTGCAGGGCGGAAAAGGGAAAGGAAAGGAGGAGGAGGAGGAGGAAGAGGAGGAGGAGGTGGAGGAGGTGCCAGAAAACCGTATGCCAGGCGGGCGAGGAGGAGGAGATGGGCCCAGGAAGCACTGGGAGGGGCCAGGACCCCCAGGGAGGCTCCAGGTAGGGTATCTGACGATAACAAAAGGGGCAGGATGAGCAGGTGAAGCAAGAAAAATGGCAATCTTGAAATCAGCAAGCGACGCACCGCATCAAACAAACAATACGTCCATGGACCCCTTCGAAGTAGTGGCCCCGAAAAAGAATACCCGACATATCATCAGAACTTTCCCAAGCCCAGTACAGATCACACAATCCCAGAAATCCTTCCGAGACCTCCTATCCGTTCCTCCTCCTCGTTTTCCTTTTCGAATAAATCGACCCTTTGACCTGTCCACGAACGTGCGTATTGACCAGGATTCCGAGGTGGATCCAGCCGCGGAAAAGAGGGCGCCCCAGGAGGCCCAGAACGGGCGAAAAGCACCCAAGAAACCAGATACCCTGAGTCCTCGATCGTCTTCGTCTCATCGGTCGGTCGGTCGGTCGGTCGGTCCGTCGTCGTCGTCGTCGTCCTCCTCCTCCTGCTCCTCCTCCTCCTCCTCCTCCTCTTCCTCTCCTCCCCCTCCTCCTCCTCCTCCTTCGCCTCCTCCTCCTCCACCTCCTCCTCCTCCTCCCCCTCCTCCTCCTCCTCTTCCTCCTCCTCCTCTTCCTCCTCCTCCTCCTCCTCCTCCCCCTCCTCCTCCTCTCCTCCTCCTCCTCCCCCTCCTCCTCCTCCCTCCTCCTCCTCCTCCTCCTCCTCCTCTCCTCCTCCTCCTCCTCCTCCTCCCTCCTCCTCCTCCTCCTCCTCCTCCTCCTCCTCCTCCTCCTCCTTCTGCTCACCCTCCTTCACACGCTACCGTTCCGCGCACTGTCGGCGCGTCTCAGTCTTTGCGGGGTTCCGTCGAGCGCCCACGCTCGCGTTCGCCTGCGCCGCCTTGCGAGAGCCCGCCGCCCCCTCGGCCATGCGGTTGTCACAGGGGTAGGCCTAACAGTAAGTCGGGCCTGTCCCCCTACAGGGGGCATGTTCGGAAATAGTAAGAAATAGTGTGGGGATTATTTCGTTCCTATTTTCGAGCATTCAGGGGCGCATTTTCGGAGTAGTTTTCATTTTTCGCCCCAAATCCCCCTGTAGGGGGACAGGCCCGACCTAAACCTAGAAAACGTTGTTTGTGCGTTTCGTGGGCCGTTTTCGTTTCGATGCCGTTCTGCAGCAAAAGCGAATTCGAGACAAAGCGAGGAACACCGAAAACAAAGCGAAAGCGATAAACACTGTTCAGGTCCAGCCCTGCGGTATCACATCTGTCTGACGACGTGGGCCCTTTAGGGGTTGTGCCCCCACCCCCTTTCCCTCCCCTGAGAGGAGGAACAGATACCGATAGCACCACCTTTCTCTCGTCACCAATGCTGGGTTCTCCTCCGAATTCTGCTTCGAACGCGCCCCAGGAGAGGTCCGTGGAGCGGCAGTACGGGTACTGTGTTGTTTATTCCTGCTCCTCTGGGACTGGCGCGGCGTTTTCCGACCTCGGCGCAGACCATTCGGCCCAGGTCACTCGGGTCGCCGGGGGGGGGCGCGGCATGGATGGAGATGCGGCGTGCGCGGTCGCGCAGGCTTGCTGCATCGACGTCGATGTGGAGGAGGGGCGCCGCCGAGATGGGACAGGGACACAGCGTCTCGGAGCGTTCCGGGACGCCTTCAGGGAGCCCCAGGACACCTTGGAGCTGCCGTGGCGCCAGATACATTCTCCAGCACATTCCAGAGCCGCCGGATCTCAGGCTGCCCCGACGCGTCTTGGTCCGGTGTCTTTGCCCCTGTCCCCGGCTTTTCGTCCTGCCGTGACTCGCCTGCGGAGAGGGCCTCCCTGCTCTCCCCCCGCTCGCCAGGGGCTCGAGCATAGAGCATCTTGCTCTGTTCTGCGCAAGATGCACAATTCGCGCAGATCGTTGCGTTTCTCTCTCGCCGTGCAGACTGGGCCCATTGTGGTCCATCCGTCCATGATATGTCTGGCGATGCCACTATTGGCCTCACTGCAGGTACCACCATCGACAGTATTATCGATCCCACTATCGACATCACTATCGGAGTGCTCGATTTCACGATTGGCCCCACTATCGATCTCGCTCTCGGTTCCACGGTCGATCTCATTATCAAGCTCTCGACCGATCACACCATATTTTTGTCGAGCTCACTGCCGGTCTCACGACTGATCTGTCGGTATCACAATCGGCCGCATTTTCTCACTATCGATCTCGGTATCTGTTTGTATATATATATATATATATATATATCACTGTCGATCTCGCCATATGTCACCCTACCAGTCTCACTACCAGCCGGTCCCAGCATCCATCTCACAATCGACCCACCACATATCAATCGATATATAACTATGGATCGGTCTCACTATCGATCGACCTCACTATCTATGAATCGATATCACGGAACAACCATCGGGACAATCATCCAGCCACCAAAGGGATACTGTTGGGGAACAAATCGGACACCATCGGGGTACCGTCGGAGCACCATCGGGACACAATCGTGACACCACCAGGACGCCATCAGTACACCATTGGGACACGATCGAAACACATTGGGGCACCTTCTGGACATTATCAGAACACCATCTGGACACCATCGGGACCATTTGGACACAATCGGGAAACCAAATCGGGAAACCATCGGGACAACATCCGGACACCATCGGAACGCCATCGGAACACCATTAGGATATCTTCGGGACGCCACGTGAACACCATCGGGACACCATCGGGACACCATCTGGACTCCATCGGAAGACCGTCGGGACACCGTCGAGACACCATTGGGACACCATCGAGACACCATCGGGACACCATCTGGACATCATCGAGACACCATCGTGACGCCATCGGGACTCCATCGGGACACCCCTGGCTTGCCGCTGGACAACCGGGGGCAGAGCATCATTTGGCCAAGTTTCGCTGTAGCCACGGCGTGTTCATTCTGCTCGCCCGCCCACGTAGCTTCGCCTCGCCCGCACGTACAACACAAACACGAAACCGAAACCTATTTCTCGGTGGGGGGTCTCCGTTTTACTTAGATCTCACCCCCAATTTCCGACATCACATTGCGTACACCCTATAGTTTCCACCTCGAGATCGCACCGCATAGTTGACATTACAGTTTTCATCACTCAGCTGATACCGCCTAGTTTTCATTTTCACAGCTCACACACGGTAGCTTACACTACTTATTTTTCATCACGCAATGTACACCGCCTATGTGTCTTCCCATTGTACACATCACATAGCTTGCACGACATGGCTTTCACCACATCTTTTACACCGTGTTGATTTCACCTCCACAGTGCAACAACGCACGGTTTGAGGCCTTACGTTGAGTAACATGTTGTGTTTGTGTTTGTTCTATGTTTTAGGAGGTGTTGCTCCCGCCAGGGCTCGACGCGGTTTGGAGATTTGGCCAGGATCGATCTTGGGAGGGGGCCTCCGCGGGAGAAGGAGACGAAGGAGAAGGAAGACCTCCTGCCCCGTCATTCCTTCCCCCTTTTCTTCGTCGTGGTGGATCGACGACCACGGTTTTGAGCGTTAAGGGTTTTGCGTGTGTTTCCAAGGGCGACAATGATGAGGAGGCCTCGGATCCAGAAAAGTGGCCCGCGCTGGGGCGAAAGCGCGATTCTGAACGACGGGAGCACAGCGCCGATCCGGAAATAGTGTCACCGCCGCAGCGGGAGCAACATCTCGAAACATGGGCAACAATAGTATTGGACCAAGTCACGCTACAAGTGACGCTCCTCCAATCCTGTGCGTAAGAAGCACGACAGGACGCGGAAGGGGCGGAGCACCCGTCGGCCAAACGCCAGGGGGAGAGAGGAGAGTGGCTTGTATCGGTGTTGCTTGTAGAGGTGAGAGGGGAGGGGGAGAGGTACGATGAGGGCAACTGGGAGGGAGGAAGGAGGAGAGGCGAGGGGAGGAGATCGGCTGGTCGCAGAACACCATCTTCGACCACTTCTCCCACGGCCCGGGCCGCGCGCCCGGCCTCTCCGTCTTCGAGACGGTGGTGCGGCTCCTGCTCGGCGAGTGTTCCGTGGAGGACGTGCCCAAGATGGTCGTGGTCGAGCGGGACGCGCTCCTCCTCGCCGCCTCCTCTTCTCCTCCTTTTGCGCCCTCCTCTCTCTCCCCCCCCCGCTCTGCCTCCTCGTCCCGCTCTTCTGCTGCTCCCCCGCTCCCCCGTGCTTCCTCCTCCGCGTTTGATGTTGACCGTCCTGGCTTCTCCCCATGTTCTGCATCCTTGCCCTCGCCGTTCTTCCCTTCTACACATCCCTCCTCCCCCACTCCCTCCTAGTCGCCGTTCTGGCTTAAGCGATTGCAGGGCGGTCACGGACCTCACAGTATGTTTTTCATACCATGGCCTGTCAGGTCTGATGTTGAACCCCAGGCTGCTGGTGGCCATCATGGCTGCAGGGGCCTGCATCAGCTCAAGTTGGATACCTGCTCGAGAGATGGGGGGTGCAACACCGTCGCCAACGCTGCTGCCGCGCATATGGCGATGTGGACACTACAATCCTCTTTCTTCATCCCGCCGTGACAGACAGGAGGATATACATTTGGCGTGTGACAGCTTTGACTGTGTGACCCTTGTCGGAACCTGCTCCCGCCCACAGCTTCGTGCGCAACAGCGACGGATCGGACGGAGGTGGCAGGTCGAAGGTGGCTGGAGTCTTGGGCAGTACACTAGCGGTTCCATTGGCATTACCATTGTTTTCGGATGCAAGGGCAAGTGACGACATCTGCGACGCATCTTGGCCCCCCAGTACCGCATACGCGGGACGAGGACTTGTTGTGCGAGTCGCATTTTCGTTGTGTGATGTTACGCTTATAGGAGTGCGCTTTCCTCCGGGGGTCAAGACTAAGGCCGAGGGGCCCAAGTATGACTGCATTGCTCGTGGCCGCGTCGAATGGATAGCGGAATTCTTGACGCTTCGCGTGTCCCCACCAGCCCATCCAGAAACGATGTCCAGGCAAGTTGAAGAGATCAGGGAAGTGGGGGAGCAACGAGAGGGACAGCCGATCCGTGCAAAGGATGAGGCGGAAAAGGAGGCCAGATGGATAGATGAGGGGGTGGCGAGGAACCGAGCGAAGGAGGGATGAGGAGAATGATGACGCTGGGTGGATGGTTGAATGCCGCTCGGATGCCTCTTGGAAGCCTTTTGGAAGCCTCTTCGCATGTCTTGGGGGTCTCTTGGCGGTCAATGGGGGCTCTTGGGCGTCTGGGGTGCTTCGGGGGGGCCTCTTGACGCCGCTTGGGATCCTCTTGGGGGGCTCTTGGGGGCCTGTTGGAGGCCTCTTGGGGCCTCTTGGGGGTCTCTTGGAGCTTCATGGCGGCCTCTTGGAGCCTCTTGGAGGCCTCTTGGAACCATCCTGGGAGCCTCTTGGGGGCTTCTTGGGGCCTCATGGCGGCCTCTTGGGGCCTCTTGGAGGCCTTTTGGAAGCCTCTTGGGGCCTCTTGGGCGCCTCTTGGGGCCATCTTGGAGGAGATCGATCAAAGAAGAGGGTGGGGTTAATTAGCCCTGCCCCCCAAGAGGCCAAAATGGGGCCAAAACCCTAGTAACACCGATGATTTTGGCTTCCTCGCCGAGGCCGCGTTGGACGCTCCAATTACCAGTGGAACCCCCCGTCCAAGTCCATGGGAGGGGGTTAGGGGGAGGGGTAAACCCTTCCCCGAAGGGGAAGAAGGAGGGGTGGAAGAGGAAATTCCCGGAACCACCTACGCCCAGAGGGCTGGTGGGATTACTCATCAAGACATCCAGTCGGAGTGCCCCCATCCTCTGCGCAGGCTTGAACGATGACATGGGGATTTCTCTGCCACCGAACTCCACCACGTACGAGACAGAGGCTATCGGAGAATATGGGGCCCGAGCTGAGCACTTGGCTGGACAATTGCTGCGTGAACTGCTTGAGAATATTTACATGGCGGTGAAGAGTGCTGAACATGGGCTGTCTACCTGGTACGAAGCTGGTGGAGTGGAGACGCTCATTGACTACATGTGTGCGCCGACCAGTCTTACTTGCTCTAGCGTTGGAACAGTAGGCCAGCTTTCTCGGATCTTGCAGCTCATAGGCGCGCGAGTACGGCGACATCATATGTTCCTGCATGTGCAAGTTCAGCTACCAGCATGGACTTCGGTGTAGAAAGGAAACACACATTTGCGGGATCGTGACACACTGTTGGGATCATGCCACGGGGGCCCTGAGCGCGATAAAAAAAACATGCGAACCATAAAAACATCTATATAATAAAGCTGAGCTGTGTCGCAATCTTCCCATTCGCACACTTCCTGATGCACTTTGGGCGTATACCGGGGGCATTATGATGGAGGAGGATGAAGAGTACTTCGTCGAGCAGGGGACCGAATATCAACGATGCGCTACACTGCGAGAGCACCGACGGGGACTACGGCGACAGCGCCAGAGATTCCGTGTGGTTTTGGACAGGTGGCCGAACTCGGAGTGCAACCCTTCGGGCTGGGTGCAGACGTTCGCTGTGCTGTGCCCGACGAGGAATCTACTGCAGCTGAAGAACGACGTATTGTCAGTGAAGCCACGTATCTTGTCTCGCCACATTGGGCGAGAGCACATTCTGGATTGAAAAGCGTTTCAATAGCGCGCGAGCAATGCGACGCGGGAGGGGTGGCGGGAACGAACATTACATGATGCCTACATTTTGGCACTTCGAGCAGCACGGAGTAATTTCGGCACGAAGCGCCGACGACATTTTGCAGCACAGGTGGCACAGCAGACGTAGAAATAATGATTGGATCAGTTGCCTTTACCAGGGTGCGAAGGAGGTGCGCGGGCGGCCCTCATCCCCTCTTGGATCAACCGCGCTCGCGCGCGTGCGAGCGAGGACCTGGCTCCGCACGCCGCCAGCCCCCCAGGTGAGCAGCTCAGGGAAAAAACTGCCAAGTCGGACGTCTGCAAACCTGAAAGGCGGGCACTGAGGGCGCCCAAAGTGGAAGGCGGCCCTTCGCCTGGATGCGCCCGTGGAGCTCACGGCCGTCTTCCTGACCCCGCCGATGGTCGCCCTTTGCAGAAGTCGTGGAATTGGGACCCCAGAGCCCGAGCTCGACGTGCCGTTTTTCAATCCGTTTTGGAAGTTGCCAGTCTGAGAATTCGAACGAGCATGCGCGCTCCAGTTTGGGCGGCACTTTAGCATGGGGGTATCCTGGGCTAGAAAAGATGACGGGGCCTCATTCGGGGGCGCGGCCTCGGGGGTCGGGACGATCCATCTCCCCCCTCCGTCCGGAACGGGGCCGGCGCTCCACTCGCTCCTCGACCCCCGCGCCGCCGCCCCAGGTGCAGGGCTTCTTCGCCCATCGCGGCAAGGAGAATGCCATCGCCCCATTCGCTCATTAGATGTGGCGAAACCGTCGGGCGGGCCGCTCGGGCCTCGCTCGCGCCCACGACCTCGCGAATGCCTCTGCGAGTATGAGACGGGCTCACATGCTGGCCGCTGCAGCGGAGCTGGTGGGGGACGGCCTCGCCCGCCTAGGGTGCCGGAGATTTGGGGGGGCCGCTGCGTCGTTGCCTCGCGGAGAGGGCCCCCTGTTCTTCAAGCCAGAATGCGGGGGAATGATGGGGGGGCCCGACATGGCGCGAAAATTCGCGCAAGCGCGTCAGACGGCCATCCAGGGCCGAGGAAAGCGACCTGATGCTTGACGGGGGGGAGTTGGTCACTCAGCACCCCTTCCTGAATCGAGCTGTCGATGCGTCGCTCAGCCCATGCGCAGATGATGCGCTGGCGTTTCTACTCGGCGGGGCCCGCCATGGATGGCGGGAGCTTGCGCGCGTGGGTGGGCGAGCCCACTTCCTCCGGGATCGGGATCGGGTCCTGGCCGAGATCGGCCGCAAGCAAAACGTGAGCGAGCAAAATATTATACTTGTCGTTTCGGGGGCTGGGTTGGGGGCCTATGCCAGAGACCTCAGGATGCAGGGGGGTGCCCTTCCCGCCCCGCGCAGCGCGCGCGCCCTATATCTAAGGGGATGCTTTGGCGCGAACTGCAGCTGCGCAGTTGAATTTGCGCCGCAAGATGGCGGTGGCGGCGGCCCTGTGCCCGCTGTCAGCTGTTTGGCTACGCGGGCGCACCCCGTGGCGCGTGGAAGGCGCGCCCCTCGTATGCTGCGCGCAAAACACTGACTGCGCTACGCTGCAATCGAGCCTATATTTGCTCCGAGCAACAGCGTGGGAGAGCAAGGGGGGGGGGGCATGTGATGCGGGAAACTGACGCTGGCCTTCAACATCGCGCATTGAGCACGGCGCAAGCATCGGGGCTGTGGCGCGCGGCGCCTGCAAGTCTTGCGACGCGGGCGCGGCGTTTACGGAGGATTCAGACCTGGCGGCCACCAGTGAAGGAATGGCCAGATTCTCGCCCCCGTGCCCGGGCACTTCTTCCGAGACCGAGCCGTCGATTGCGGAGCTCGACCTGGGAAACGAATGGGACCCATGGGCCCTCCAACCTCAATGATGCGTGAGGAAGCACATGGGCTCGATGACGAGGGTGGTTTTCTTCGGGGGCGGTTGGAAGGCGCATTCGGTCGCGGCGGTTGCAGGTGTCTTCGGAGGAGGAGATGCTGGAGGAGCCTCTGAAACAGGATGTCATAGTCTTAATTAAGAAAGGGAGTATAGCATGATCCAACAACCCGCGCCCGTGCCCGCGCGACCATCGGAATCTTCGCATTTGACCCCCGCGCCATCGTGGCGCCTAGGGAGATTCGGGACAGGGACTTCCGGGCCATTGCAGGGCGCGGGCCGCGTCGCGCACGGCGCGCGCCGCCGCGGGTCTCGAGCCGAGGCGACTGCAGAAACGTCATCGCCAGCGAAGGAATGCGAACACAGCGCTCGGGCACCACTGGGGCCGAGCGCCCGCGCCGGCGGGGAGTTCCGTCGGTGGCGCGGGGGGGGGGCCTTCATTGGCTTTTGGTCCGGCACTCCACCGCCCCTGGGTCGTGGACAACAATTGCGGGGTCTCTGCGGCGCTTCCGTTGAGGTCTCCGAAGGGTTTTCTGGGGGCCTCTCGGGGGCCCGCGGGGCCGTCTCAGGCGTTTCTTAGGGGCTCGACGGGG